AGCAATCTTCCACCTAAGCCATAGCACCACTTCCGGTTTTCTGGTGGTTATTTGGAGATAAGAGCCTCACGGACTCTTCTGCCCTGGCTGGCTTTGTACTACGATCCTCAGATCTCAGCCTCCTGAGATTACAGGCTTGAGCCACAGGCACCCAGCTCAGGTTATTTTCTTTATAATTCTTGTAATTCTTAAAAATTTGAGCTGGGATATAGGTCAGTGGCAAAGTGCTTGTCTAGCAAGTGAAATGTCCTGGGTTCAATCCCCAGTACCAAAAGAGAAAAGAAAAAAGGTACAGTTAAAAATTATTTGGCTTTTATTTTCTTTTGAATCTGATCTAAAAGCAATTTTGTAGCACATCATGAAGAACTGAAACCCAGCTGACCTATATTGAATAATCTTGAAATCCTTTTCTGTTTTCAAAGACAATATAAAAGCATCCCTCAAATTTCTATTTTATTTATAATTATTTCATCCTTTAGACTCTTACAAAATATCAATTTACATCTCTGTATCATACTGATGCTTAGGGGAGGTATTAAAGTAAAAGAACTAAGTTCCCTGTCTGATCTGGCACAAATTGAGTAAGGGATAGCCATAAAGGGTTAGATGCAAAGAGGGAGAGTTAGTTCTACACAAACAGGAATACAAAGACAGCATTAGCTATAAAATTCACAAAATTATGGCACAGGGGCAATAACTAATATAAGTCTCCAAGATAGAGATTACTTAACTGAACCACTGGGTGACAAGAGAAATTAGCTAAATATTGTTTCTGATTGGTTTGGTATCCAGGTTTCTAAATGAGATTAATGTTTGAATCAGTAGACTATATAAAATGGATTGCCTGCCCCACTACAGTTGATCTTTATCTGATCTGTTGAAGATCTGAAAAGAACACAAAAATGACTGAATAATAAAGAATTGTATTTCTCTTATGGCTTGACTGTCTTCAAGTGGAGGCAATCACACTTTTCTCCCTCACTAGACTGTGCATGTTTGTATTAGACACCTTAATGGTTTTAGATCCCATTGCCAATCTGGTGAAGCTTAAGGACCTCCCTCTCAGAATTAGGTTTTGTCTGTATATTATTACATATTATATATGTTTACAAAGAAAATTGGCTGCTCTGAATTATACTTACTAAAATCTTAGAAATGTTATTTACATATTAAATAATAAAAGCCAGTGGCTGATATAAATACCATACTTTTAAAGTACTAATGACCATAAACAATATTTTGAAATTGTGTTACAACATGAATTTGATGTGGTAATTCCTGTAACGTCTCTTGGTGACAAAGCCACAGGTCCATTTAATACTACTGTAGTTTACTGCCTACAGATAACTGGAGTTGTTAAAACATAGTTTAAATCTTAGTTTAACTTTTTATATAAAGATAAAGATATAATGTTTCCTCAATTCATGGTCATAGAATCCTTGAATTCTATACTAGAATACTTGTAGGGTCTTCTTTCATATCTTTCTGTCTTTCTCCTACAGTCCATAATATTAGCTAGTAAAGCAGGTCATCAAAAATATTTGCAAGCCGGGCACTGGTGTCTCACGCCTGTAATCCTAGCTACTCACGAGGCTGAGATCTGAGGATCACGGTTCAAAGCCAGCCCGGGCAGGAGAGACCGTGAGACTCCTATCTCCAATAAACCACCAGAAAACCGGAAGTGGTGCTGTAGTTCAAGTGGTAGAACGCTCGCCTTGAGCTGAAGAGCTGAGGGACAGCACCCAGGCCCAGAGTTCAAGCCCCACGGCCGACAAAAAAAAAAAAAAAAAAAAAAAAAAAAAAAAAAATATATATATATATATATATATATATATATATATATATATATATATATATATATATATATATATGCAGAACTCAGTTATCATGAGGATCTGATGAGTCAGAGTTAAGCTATTCTGAACTGAATTCAAGTTGTATTTAAACTCATAGTTAAAGGAGGGAGAATCAGAAGAGTTTAGATGGTAAAAGGCAACAGAAAATTATACTATCTGACCAATATGGTTAATCTGGGCTGTACTGCCTCACCTATTTCTTTATCTTAAACCTTGATAACTATGATCAAAATTGCTGGGACCATCTTAACTTCTTTTTTTTTAATTTTAATTTTTATTTTTTGTGAACATACTGTACAGAGGGGTTACAATTACATGGGCAAGATAATGAGTACATTTCAATATTGAGTAAATGTTCACTTCTAGACTTAGGATAGTTTTCTCATGAAACAAAATTTGTTCAATAGCAAAAGTTTCAGTAATAAAAAGCTTTACATTGTCTCAAGCTGGACTTTGCAGAATCCAATTCTGAGATGTACACTAGTGTGCAAGTGATTTATCTGAAGTACTCTCGGGGAAAATCTGTAAAGGAGCAAAGGAGGTAGGAAAGGAAAGGGGATGGGCCAAGCAAGGTTATGTTCTTTAGGTCCAGCCTCAGTATGATACCGTAGGATGCTCTGGAGTGAAAGTTGCAATGCAGAAAATGCTGTCTTGGGACAAGTGATTTTTCTGTTAGTCATTGTTTTTGTGCTATCCAGATTAGAGTTTCATTTATCTGTCACTTATGGCTCTCTAATTCTGTGGGAAATTCCTGTGAGATTTTCCCTTAATAAAGTAGAAAGTATAAGTTCTCTAGAAGTATAAGTCCTTTAGAAGTAAAGCATATGAAACTAGGAAATAAGAACACAGATCCAACAAAGGGACCCCAGAGTATCTAAACAAAGCACTGTTAGTGTCTAGTGCACAAGGAAACAGCCAACAACAGGGATCATGATCATAACAAGAGCTTTCCAAGTGCTTATGTTTGTCTTTATAATATAAGCTTTAATCCTGACAACAAGCTTATTTGGTAGCTAATATTATGATTTCTATTTTGTCAAATAAGGAAACTAGGTTCATCTATGAAAACATCTCTCAAGTGTCTCATGGTACATCTAAGATTTGAATTGTGGGTTATGATTCAACAGTTTGTACTCTAAACATCATGCCACCCACGGTGGCATGATTTCTCAAAATACAAAGAGTAACCGGGCCTGAGTCATCTAGCTTGCTCTCTTATCCTGGGGACTCAGGACAAAATGAAACTATACCTAATACATTTATGCTCAGTAAATAATAGCCATGGTGTTATGAAATGAGGGGAAAACCATAGCTTTAAAAATGTGAATTTTCCTATGAAAGGATCTCTTGGATTTTTTTAAGAGTCTTTCTTCTGTTATTCTCAAAAAGAGATCTAAAATCCAAGAAATTATTATTGTTATTGTTTTTAACATCTCTGTTGTTTACTATACAACTTGATTGAATACCATTATAGCAAATAAAAAGACAGAAAAATAGAACAGGAAAGGAAATTGGGAATATAACAGAATATTTCTAAAAAGTTAATGCAAATGACAGAAGCAAATATTCTGAACAAATCCTATTTACTACTTTTCAATGCTTCTTGAGATCTGGTTATTAAATTATTTCTCCCTAAAGAGAGTGCTTTTCAATTTCCCTTAGAATGTCATCAATAAGTAGCTAATATACAATTGCCCTTAAACAATGTAACTTTTTGTGGTGCATTAGAAAATTCAGTAACTTTCATGATTGGACTAGTAATGCAAAATTTTAAAATGATTTTAAAATGATTCTTTAAAATGATTTGTTTGTCGTTACATAAATTCTAGGCACATAAAATACCACAATTTTTTTTTTTTTTTGGTCAGTCGTGGGGCTTGAACTCGGCCTGGATGCTGTCCCTGTGCTCTTCAGTTCAAGGCTAGCGCTCTACCGCTTGAGCCACAGCGCCACTTCCGGTTTTCTGGTGGTTTTTGGAGACAAGAGTTCTCAGACTTTCCTGCCCGGGCTGGCTTTGAACTGCGATCCTCACATCTCAGTCTCCTGAGTAGCTAGGATTACAGGCGTGAGCTACTGGCGCCTGGCTTAAATACCACAATTTTAATACAAATTTTTGTTTCTTCAAAACTTGGCTACATGTGTAGCAAAAGTAGAAATAAAGCCTCTAGGGTATATTTCAATGTAGTTCCAGTTCTAAGGGTCCTAGTTGAGGTGCACTGAGTATTTTTGCAACATGATAAGATAATATTATGACAATGTTTTTCCTCAAGCAAATAGAGGATTCATGGGCTAGTAATATGGCTCAGTAGTAGAGTGCATACTAATTATGTATGAGGCCTAGATATAATTTCCAGACTCCCCTCCCTTCAATTTTTAAAAATTAAAGACTACACATGAGCTTCAGACTATAGTTTGGGAAGTTTTAGAAGACACAAGAGCTTCACATTACACAGTTACAGTGACCAAGGGGGTAACATTCTTTATATTTATTTATGTGTATCCTATCTTTGGGGACAAAATGTAATATACGAATACATTTTAAAACTGAATAGTACAGGCGGTGCAGGCAGCAACCAATATGATGTAATTCAGAGCAGATCATGCAGCCAATCAGCATGGATATTGGCTGAAATATGGGTGAGATCATACCCAAGGAGCCAGATAAATGTAAGTACTGTACAAAGTCAATGTGAATCTCAACTTTGCCCATGACACTCATATTTCTTAAAAATACTACAACCTTCCAATAGTTCCTTAGGCTGTGGAACAAGCCTTTAAAATGGGACTTGGGGGAACAGTCTAGATCTAAACTATAATAATTAACTTTCTCTAAATCACACAGATAATATGTGCCTGGGTTGGGACTCAAACATAGGTAGTCCTCAAGTACTACTTATGATATTGTTAGGAAATGTGTTTTTTTCCCTCAATATCCTATTACTAGTTCAAATCCATCCTCTTAATTGGCTAAATGATATAGTAATAACAATATTTTCTAATACTTACAATACATCTGAAAAGTGATAATAATCCCAGACCAACATCTTGTCTCCAGTGTAGTTGAGTTTATCATATTTCTGATCTAAATTGTTTAAAACAAGCTGAAAGCAGTTAAGGAGGGCTAAAACAATAAAATAATATTACCTTATTCTCTTGTCTTCTACTTTTTTCAAATATTCATCTCTCTTTAGGACTCCCAGGATCATTTCCTTCTCATGATCTAATAAAAATGACAGATTGATGAACTCCGAGTTCGTAGACATGATACTTCAGCAGCAGCTCTGAAGAGCAGTGGTTGAATCTTCCAGAAGATAAATTGATCTGTATAAATGTTAAGGTTTCCAATGCAAACCCCAAGTCACTTAGATGTTATGTTAAAAGTGGTTTTTATAAGGTATTTGTAGAATTGCTGACAATGGCTAGGTATTCTTTCAGGCTAGACAGAAAATAGGCTTTCTTGGGAGTGCATTCCAAGAAAGTCATTATTGTTTTAACTGAAAAAGGTCTTGGAAGTCTTTGCTGTGGTGTACAGTCAAGCAGCAGTTGGGTTTCACTAATGATGCTCAACTTCAATCATTCAAATCTCCAGAGAAGGAATCACATTCCCTGGGAGTGAATGCAGAAAACACTGAAAGGTAGAAAAAGCAAAAGAGAGAAAAAACTAATTAGGCGATTTTTCCCACCTCACTTGTAAAACTACCTAGCTTTTTTTTTTTTAATACTAAAGCACCTAATTTAGAAAAAAAACCCAAAATTTAAATCAGTAAACATGTACTTACTAAGTACTTGTTTTATGTTTTTCTTACTACAAAGTGATACTTACATTGAAGTGAGACCAGATTCTCTGGGTAAATCTCCTCCATTACAATTAAATACAGCTGCCAGCCAGATTCTATCACCTCTCTAGCAATTGAAGGGTCATTATTTTGGAACCCTCTATCTCTCCTTCCCTACAGCATAAATGTAAATGCTAGCGAGTCAATTATGAACTAGCGGCATAGGTATCAACTTACACCCCTAAAAATGCTAAATGCAAAAAGTTACAGAAAAATTCATACAGAATGCCCATAATATATGAAAGATATAACTTGTAAAATATATTTATGAATACATATACTTATTGTATATGTATTGCATAATTCATGGAAGACTTAGGTCATGATTGCCTATAGGGGAACAGAGAGCCATATAATCAGAGAGGAGACCAAAAGGGCTTCATATATGTGGGGTAATAATTTACTCTTAAAAAGGTGTTTATATCCCATGGTTTATGTTGCTGTTTCTGAATTATTTTAGGTATTATAGACAACAGTACCCTGTCACCTGAAGTTTTACTTTGTAGTTTCAGTTACCTACAATCAACTTTGGTCTAAAAATATTAAATAGAAACCCCAGAAAAAAACTTGTAAGTTTTAAATTACTTATCCTTCTAAGTAATGTGATAAAATCTTGTGGCATTCTATTTTATCCTATATGGAACTTCTGCCTCTGTTCAGTGTATCCACACTGTATAGACTACCCACCAATTACTCATTTTATAGCCATCTTATTTGTGCATAGTACTTGTGCATTCAAGCAACCAAATGGCCCCCAAATGCAAAAGTATTGATATATATCATATATTATATATATATATATATATGTCACTAGAACATAAAACATCAGAATATACATAAATTCTGGCAGTGACACTGCAGCACAGTACACATAGGAATATTATAATAGTTTGGTAATATCCAGAGTTTCAGATAGCTATTGAACATTATCCTCCACAGATAAGGCAGGACTACTGTAATGCAAACAGAAATGTTTAAAGTATCCTCTTATCAATATAAGAAACTCATTTGACCTTCTCTCATTCTTATTTTTTGAGCATATTCCATTGGTTTGGTGTCTAGATTCTCTCTCTGTAGAGCCTCTTTTTTTCTGTTGGTTGTGAGACTTGAACTCAGGGCCTGAGCACTGTTCCTGAGCTCTTTTGCTCAAGGCTTGTGCTCTACTGCTTTGAGTCACAGCACCACTTCCAGTTTTCTAATGGTTAACTGGAGATGAGAGTCTCATGGACTTTCCTGTTGGGGCTTGCTTCAAACCCGATCCTGAGGTCTTAGTCTCTTGAGTAACTAGAGTTCCAGGCATGAGCCAGCCACCAGTGCCTGCCTTTCTGTATAGCTTCTTGAGAGCAGTGATTCTTAGGGTGATCTATCACAGCTTTTGTGATTGGGCTTCATACCAAGAAATTTTCCCTTAGCTTCCCTTTAGCAAAATGAATTACAGGCCTAAAGTCAGCCTGATCCCCAAACCCTCAGGAGACCTAAAAGGACAGAATATTATCTACAGCCTCCCTGACTTTCCAAATCCCCTGTGAGTTTGTTCTGTATCATGTGCACCAAATCAGAACTTTACAGAAATAATGAAAAACTGAACTGCTTCCTACAGACTCAGTGGTAGCCCCCTTTAAGGAAAGTGCCCAGGTCACTGTCACTGTAGTCCACCTGGATTCCCTCCAAGTCTTTTCTTCCATCTCTAAAGCCTCATAGGCAGCAGGGATCAGAGGGTTTCAAGGTTAAAATGATCAGGAAGCAATAATGTTTAAAGCAAAAGGAGTACTGCAGACAATTTAATGGTTTGGTTTTGGCATCACTGTCAGTTGCTTCCTCTCCTAAGATAAAAAACACAATTGTTTTTTCCAGCCCTTGCATTGTCTCATCTGGTTTTATAATGAAATGGGAAAAATAATTAAAAACTCAGAGACTGAAGGTGTTATCATTATGAACCAGGTTCACATAAGACCTATGTATAAAATGTGAGATTTAGAATATCTTACAGGATAGTCTACAGATATTCTACAGTATATTCTACAGGATCACATTTAGAAACTACTCAAGGAGTTGAGAGCTATAAAAATATTTGAACCAAAGCCAATGGTTATCCATGTTCTCAGATGTAAATATAGGCCTTTATAAGATCTTTACACTGAGGAGAATAAAGGAAGGGAAGTGACAACACAGGCAGTACATAAAAGTGATAGAGAAGTTGGGAGTGGTGGCCCACACTTGTAATCCAAGCATTCAGGAGGTCAGGGCATAAAGATTGTGAGTTAAAGGCCAGGCTTGGCTATGTAGTAAACAACAACAACAACAACAAAACCCCCTGACTCCAAAAGAATAAGGACTAGGGATGCACTTTGGGTGATCTCAAGCAGCATGGAAAAAAAGGAGAAAGTAAGAAATGGAGGCAGAGAAGGAGACAAGGAAGGAGGGAGGGAAGGAAGGAAGGAAGGAAAGAAGGAAGGAACGAATGAACGAAGGAAGGAAGGAAGGAAGGAACGAAGGAAAGAAGGAACGAAGGAAAGAAGGAAAGAGGAAAGGAAGTTAGGTAAAAAGGAAAGAAGGAGAAAGACAAGATGAGAATCCAAACAAAAGTATAATAATTAAAATTGTACTATGGGAGTTTAACAAATAAGCTCTAAATGGATTTTTTGCTCAACTGTACCTGGGCTAGTATGTAAGTGAGTGGCCAAGAAGATCAGAAATAGCAAAACCTTTTTCAAGAAAATAAGGATGTTTTCTCCAGAAAGCACTATTGAACTGTGATTATAATTTTGTAAGACAGAATTGAATTGATGACAATACAATCCTTCAGGATAAACAGTGGATAGAGGAAAGAAAACTGTGTCTGGAAATAGTTAAGTAGATAAATCACTAGGTACCTATGCAGACTGTGGTCAGAGAAGGAGTACCTAGGCCCTACAAATGAAAACAGCTTAGTTTCCTGGTACACATGTTCCATGTTGAATGATAAAGCTTTCATCTTACAAAATTTCATGTCATTAATCACTAAAATCATACAACTAATTCCTGTTCCAGATTCACTCCAAGAATGAAACTTTTAGTCCTGCCTATAGATCACTTTGTTTGATTTTGAGTACAGCTGTGTTTCAACTATTGCTGATCATATGCCAAACAAATTAAATTACTGAGTCCTTTGCACTGAGGACTGATCTGGATTGCAATTAATCTATCTAAACATGCTCCATCCTTTGATTGCTCTTCAGCTTGTACATTGCACTGCTTGGAGGACCCTTTACCCACTAGACACTTTAATCAAGTGCAAAACAAAATGAGTAGACCTCATTCTCTCAAATGGGCACAGTAAACATTAGTCCAATTAGGAGGAAGAAATCCATTTTTATTTTATTCTTCAACTCCTTGCCATACATATGTGTGCATATATATATATGTATACATGTATATATACACATGAGTATATCTGTATATATACATATACATATACATATACATATACGTATATATGCATACTTTTTTTTTTTGGCACCGGCTTGAACTCAGTTCCTAGGCTCTGTCCTAAGCTTTTATGCTTGTGGTCAAGGCTAGCACTCTAACACTTGAGCCACAGCTTCAGTTCGGCCTTTCTGGTGATTAAGTGGAGTTAAGAGTCTTACAGTCGGGTCTGGGAAGGTGGCTCAGTGGTAGAGTGCTTGCCTTGTATGCATGAGGTCCTGGGTTTGATTCCTCAGCACCACATAAGCAGAAAAAGCTGGAAGTGGTGCTCTGGCTCAAGTGGTAATGTGCTAGCTTTGAGCTGAAGAGTTGAGCGACAGCGCCCAGGCCCAGAGTTCAGGCCCCACAACTGGCAAAAAAAAAAAAAAAAGAGTCTTACAGATTTCCCTGTCCAGGCTGGCTTTGAAAGGTGAAAGGTGATCCTCAGATCTCAACCTCCTAAGTAGCTAGGATTACAGGCATAAACCATGGGTGCCTAGCACTGTATATATTTTGTATGTGAACTCTGACCTCTTTGAGTAGTAGTAGCCTTGCTGAACTGGGCTAAGCTGTTTGCAAAAATGACACAGTTTATATGTTTTTCTGCTGTCTTTGTGCATTATATATGTTCATCATTAAACATAATACAGTAATAAAATATTCTCACAGTATCACACAGAGAAGTAAGATTTAAAATGTATCTGTTTTCAGTAATGCATATTTAAAACAATAGGGCTCAACATTTGAGTCAGAAGAAAGAGTAGATACTAGATACTTGAAATGGAGCTTTATAAATGAAAAGGTTTATGGGAGTGCTCTTCTGAAATGAATACAAATAAAGCTAATCTTTTGTTTGAATGTTAATGTGTGACAAAGGCAGAGTTAGACGGATTTTCAGCATATGTTTAGAATGCAAGGTAAATGGAATGTGCACAGTTCACTTGAGGAGAACTTTCAAATAGATAAGCAGTCATCTTGCAAGGAAGTGGTAATTGGAGTACCACAAGAATCAGCAAGACTCTTAGAAAAGTAAAAACTTCCATTGAAGTGCTGTGGAGAGAGAAAAGAAAAAAGCCACGCTTTTATTATGAAAGACTCAGGGCAAATGGTGCTGTGCCTCAAGTGGTAGAGTACTCGCCTTGAGTTGAAGAGCTCAGGGACAGCGCCCAGGCCCAGAGTTCAAGCCCTACAACTGACAAAAAAAATAATAATAAAAAAGACTTCGGGCAGATGCTATGGAATTTCAGGCATTTAATTTAAATGAATCTATTTCTTTTTTATGTGGGCAACTCTGATACATTATATGTGAGTGAAATAGCTGAGATTAAAAAAAAACAAAC